TGTAGTCCAATAAAAGGATCTTTTTCTTAAAATTATAAATTGAACATAATTATAAGAATTCTGAGACAATTATGGAAATTATTAGGTAGGATTTACATTTATAATGTTCAGTCCATAGCATGTGGCAATTAAGAAAAAATTTCTACTATCTATCCTATCTTAGTGTACTTGAAGTTTTGTACCTAACTCAAATTTTATCCTAACTTGCATTACCAACCTAAATCATCTTTTTAGACCTACAATACCTTCTTAAATCCTAAATAATTGGAGCTTAATTGTGAGTCTATAACTGTCTAGTCTTCAACTTCATCAGATACCTGAGAAGAAATAAAAATTTGCCTGAGTATGCAGGAAGGACAGGTGCATAGCTTCCCAAGAATTATAGAAATGACAGAGATAGTTGGCTGCTTGGACAGTCCCTAATATTGTCTCTAACGTTGAAGCATCCATCTTCAGCTTTTTGGCCCAGTATATCTGACAGTCTCTTTGTAGAGCAGGAATTATGAAGGACTTGCTTATCTTGTCTTGGCAGAGCTTAACAGTTGGCTTTCCTGTATCCCTTTGTCCTTTCTGGACAGCATTTGCCTGTAGTTGAAGCATGATCATTTTCTTTGCCCAGTGGCTAGCATGCCACAGTGAAAGCAATTCCAAATGGACATTATTGATGGTCATCACCATCTGTGACTTTGAGTAGGGATACTGTCAAGAGTAGACCTGTCTCATAGTCAAAAGATCTTTTAATAATTAAATAATTTTATATGCCATATTCTGTGGATCTCTGAGGTCTTTGAAGATCAACTATCCACTTATAGTATATCTGAATTGTTGAACATTGTTTATTTTTAGCTATTTACTATCTGAATGTCCTTGAAGACATCGTACTGTAATTAACTAGACTAGAATTTAATATGACTATGAGTTTGACTATTAATTTATATTTCTTAACCATCTCTAATAGTTTGCAACTTGTAGTTTGTAGTTTTATCACCCTAATATTTGGTAATAGCAGCTTTCAAAAGGACTAGAAATTCACATTGCATCTTTAAGATTTATATAAGTACAATACCTCAAATAAACATGAACACATATACACATTGTGGGTATCAAAATAACCTTAAATGTATATCAGTATAAAATAACCCATGCCAATGTATCAAACATAACCTTGGTTTGTATCGGTATACACAATTGCGTACCAATGTCACATTGTGGCTATAAAATGTTTTTTTGGTTTCAGAGTAGATTCAATAATCTACCCCTATATGCTAATTTCTTATAATATTTATATATTCCCCCTTTTTCTTTACAACCTTCTTTTTTTTTTTAAAGATTTATTTATTTATTATATATGAGTACACTGTAGCTGTCTTCAGACACACCAGAAGAGGGCATCAGATCTCATTACAGATGGTTGTGAGCCACCATGTGGTTGAAGGGATTTGAACTCAGGACCTCTGGAAGTGCAGTCAGTGCTCTTAACCACTGAGCCATCTCTCCAGCCCTCAACCTTCTTTCCCACACCTAAAAAAGGAACAAAGAAAGAAAGGAAGGAAGAAAGAAAACAAAAGAAAGAGGAAATAAAAGGAAAAAGAAATCCTTGAATCTAATCTCCTTATTTTGTCTCATCCCTGTCCAAGACCATAATTATTTGTAACCATTTCCCTTTAAAAGACAACAAACATCTGACATCTATTGAATGATTAAAATTCCTTTATCCCTTGCCCGGCAGTGGTGGTGCATGCCTTTAATCCCAGCACTTGGGAGGCAGAAGCAGACGGATTTCTGAGTTCGAGGCCAGCCTGGTCTACAGAGTGAGTTCCAGGACAGCCAGAACTACACAGAGAAACCCTGTCTCGAAAAACCAAAAAAAAAAAAAAAAAAAAAAGAAAGCAAGCTAACTGTAGCGTTCGTTGTCCAGTTTCTATTTGCTGAGAAAGTGCAGGCTTAAATGAAGTCCTAATTGGAACTGTCCGAAAGGCTGGACCAAGTGAGCTAGCTGTTCTGAAGGTGTCCTGGAAGCCGCTAGAGAAGACCAGCTTTGATGTAGTTGAGGTAGGATCAGGCAGGGAGGTGGAACAGAAAGTCTCAGCATCTCAGCTATGTGTATATGTATATATATGTATATATAATTTCTATACTAATATAATTTATGGAATGTGCAATGTGCACAGATCAGTTAAAGATGATTTTCTGTTTCTTGTTTGAGCAGGTAAAAGACAACTATCATTCTTTATGAACTAGTTTGATCATATAACCAAGCTGCAATATAAATCTCCATTCATGCCATAGGAAAGGATTGCATGATGAATCTTAAGGACTCTGTAGCCAATAAGATCCATTGGCTATGTATAGCTGAAGTTCTGGCTAGAGATATTTTTATGTCTCAGCCAGTTTCAGGGCTGTGCCCATGTAGACGGATTAGCACATCATGTTACAGATTCTGTTTGGTCTTGATTTCCCTTTTTCTATCTGTAGCCAAGATCTTCATGGGGTCTTCCTTTATCAAATCTGATTTTTATCAGTTTGGATAGAATCTATAATTTTTCTTCTCCTGTATGAACTTATACAAAGCTCCTTCCCCAGAGTAACACATTTCCTGCTTTCCATTCTGAGGTTAATATATCTTTGAAATAGGCTGAAATAATTCAACAGTTTTTTCTATAATCCAGTGTCTCTCAGTGGCCATTGTTCATTAGCATTTAAGAAATTTCAAGTTAATAAAGCATTTTGTAATCTATCTTTGGGGGGTCTTTGATACCCCTCTCTGTTTATTAAGCATTTCTTTTAAAGTACAATTGGATCTTTTAATGACTGCTTGTTCTGTAGGATTGTTGATATACCTATTATATATTGCTTTATAGTACAATATGTACATTTAAAAAATTTATTAGTAACATATGCTAGTGCATTGCCAGTTTTAATTTGTATAGGTATACCCATAATTGCCATAACTTCCAATAAATGCATAATAACAGAATCAGCCCACTTGTTACAGTTGAATAAACAGAGAAGTTGATTTGGCATCATCCTGAATAAGTTCAGCAGTTTCTATATGCAAAACAAGTCTTTCTGTATACTGAGAGTCAGTTTCTATATTAAAATTCTTGAAAATCTAATAATACCATAAGTATTGCAAATAATTCTGATTTTTTGAATCTATTCATAAGGACTTTTAACCACCTTACTTATATCTTTGGACTTATATCCTGCCTTTCCTGATTTATTTACACCAGTGTAAAATGTAAGCACTGCAGAAATTGGAATTCTTTGTATTATACAAGTGAGAATCCAATTAGTTCTTTTTATAAATTGAAGCCACTTGCTTTTTGAGTATTTGTTGTTAATTTCTTCCAGAAAAATTACTGCAAGCTCTTTGCCAATCTTCATCTTGTGCCCATAGTGAGGTAATCTCAGCATTAGTAAAAGAGGTGCCAGAGTCTCACCTGGATCCATTCCAGCTAGTGGACAAACTCTCATTTTTCCCTTTGGAATCAATTCAAGGGCTCAGCAGTTAAGAGCACTGACTACTTTTCCAGAGGGCCTGAGTTTAATTCCCAGCAACCACATGGGGCTCACAACCACCTGTAATGGGATACGATGCCCTCGTCTGTTGTATCTGAAGACAGCTACAGTGTACTTGTATACATAAAATAAATAAATAAATAAATACATATTTAGAATCAATCCAGAAACTTTTTCTATGTAAGTTTTTAGTATTTTACTCTGTGTACTAAAAATACCCATTCTAAGACATGATCCCTCTGCATAAGAATTCCTTTGGGAGAATGAGTAGAAGGCAAGATAACTAAGATGCAAGTGATCTTTGAATAAAATCTAGATGTGTATTCTGTAGTTTCTTTTCTTATCAGAGCCAACTCCTTTTCAGCCTAGGCTAATAATTTTCTCGGGCTATTTATGTCTTTATCATCTTGTTAGGTCTGAAATAAAATACTTTCTCTTGAGATTCCAAATACAAACAGACCAGACTTTTTAAATGTAACTCTTACCTAATGGGTTTCATAATTGTTCCTGCTGTATATTGTTTATTATTATTAAAAAAGAGCCTTTTATTAGACAAAAGGGGGAAATGTAGGCATAATGTACACTGTGTAAAGTTTATCCTGCATATTCAAAAGCTGATATCTCTGCCCTCATATCTTGTTTCGGTCATGACACAGCACGGTAATGTTTATATCAAGAATCTCCTGTGTCAAGTTTTTGTAAACAATTCTTCCCATTTATTCTCTGCTTGTCAATAAATGCTGGTCAACCAGTGGCTGGGCAGAATTGAGACTAGTAGGACTCTGCCAACCAGAGGAAAGAAATAGGGAGAGAGGGACATTCACATCAGTGAGGAGGATGGAGGATTTGGAGCTACGAGGAAGGGGTCGGGAGAGATCAGGGAAACACAGCTGAAGCCCAAAGAGCCAGATCAATGATAATATGCACATACCATGGGATGGGGCTGGGAGTAGCCAGGTAAGCGTAGAAGGTTAAGGTAGATCAAAACTGCACTCAGCTATTGGAAGAAATACTGTTTTTTCTGTGTTACTATTGGGAAATAGTATAAGATAAAGAAATACAGCCACCAGATTAATTCACTGCTGATATTTATAATTCATTTACACAAGAGAGTGGGAATTATTATTGCACAACCCATACAACATGACAGTAGTCAGGCTGTTTCCAACTCCTAGGAGGCAGAGCAAGGTGTGGGTATGTTCATGTTCACTTACAGCCCTATCTGATTAAGGCCTGGTTACCCAAATGGTCTGGGTTCTCTTACACCAACAGGGAAGGTTTTCATCTTAATATCATCATGTAGCACATTCATCAATCAATAACATCAGGATAGTTTTTTTAATTTTTTTTCTACTGTATAAGCAAGGTATATTATAATGTAAAATACACATGAGAGCCTTCCACCCCTTAAGAGAAGCTGGTCTTCAGGTTCCTTTTTATAAGCCTAGAGTAAATTGAAGAGAAATGTGCTGTTACAGGAGTTGGTGTCGTTTGAGGATGTCACTGTGAATTTCACCTGGGAGGAGTGGCAGAATCTCAGTGATGCTCAGAGGATGCTGTACAGGAATGTGATGCTGGAGACATACAGCAGCCTGCTGTCCCTGGGTGAGTAAGTCTCAGGAGCAAGCACCTTCCCTGCACAGGAAACATATGAGCATGTATGAGGTTTAGGACTAAGGTTTTACGCCACAGATTGTATGATTGTTCTCTGCTCTCAACTGAAAGGTCCGTATTTGCACTTTTGTTACACAGATCCTAAAACATGGTTTTTTCTTTCTTCAAAGAACCTTCTTAGCAGGATTTTTCCAAGCCCTATATTATTTCCTATTAACAGGGCAATGCACCCCTAAACCTGAGTTGATCTTCAAGTTGGAACAGGGAGAGGAGCCATGGACTGCAGAAGACCCTGCACCCAAGACTCTGCCAGGTTAGTTGTTGGTGCATGTGAATGGGGGGGACAGTGTATAACAAAGGTTGCCCGTTTCACCAGTTTACCCCAAGTTCCATATCTGAGGGCTCAGACATGTTTGCTATGTAGTTTCCAAGGAGAACTCTCTTGCATATGTTCCTACATTTCAATTTGATAAAGTATTTCTTAGGCTGCCCTACCCCCCATCTAGCCTCTGACTTATGTAATTTGTTGTTTTTCCCTGGTACTTTCTTCTGTTTGTTTGTTTGTTTGTTTTTTGAGACAGGGTTTCTCTGTGTAGCCCTGGCTGTCCTGGAACTCACTCTGTAGACCAGGCTGGCCTCGAACTCAGAAATCTGCTTGTCTCTGCCTCCCAAGTGCTGGGATTAAAGGCCTGCGCCACCACCGCCCGACACCTGGTACTTTCTTCTTTCATAGTTTCAGTTGCCTCTCTCACTTCAATCTCATGGAGATTTTGTTTTCAGACATATTTCATTGTGATTGTTTTTTTTTTAGCACATGCTAATGAGACAGATTTCAAGTGCTGATTCTTGTATATTTTATATAAATAAAAATGTAAAAGTAATGTCCTTGCTTCATGGAATTAATTTCAATAAAAGACAAATAAGTTTATTTATACTAAGAAGTCACAAACAAGTATATGCAATGTTGAACCAGAGTATAGTGAGTAACAGATGGTGTTTAAAGTTACAGAGTATTTTACTGACGAAGTTGCTCTAAACAGATTTAGAAGTTAGGCTGTAAGCCATGATATAAGAAATCATCAGTAGGAGGTATAGGAAGGGGTGTTCCCACTTGAGAAAGAATCAAGGAAAAGTGAGACAAGTTCTCAAGTTGAAGAACTCAAGCTTTTGTTTGGCTTTGGCTGGGGACTGTCATTTAAATGCAGCACTTGTTTAATTTTCCTTCTCTCATTCAAAAGCAACAAAGATAATGAAGGATTGTAGAAGCCACTTTTTATGAAACTGAAACCTGACAACATCCGTGAGAATTGATGAATTACTACACAGTTGGTGCATGGGTCACCACTTTGAAGACAAATATTAGGGCTCATGATTATCACAGGTAGTCAGATACTTTAGAGAGATGTACAGCATACATAGTTTTCCAGAGTGATAGATAGGAGTTTGTATTTATTTTAGTTAGGAAAGAACAGGACATGTTGTTCAGTTGAGACCTCAATTACTGGAATCTGTTTTGGGTGGAAGTAGAAAGGAAGAAATTTCATGTTTGAAATATTCCCAGTCTGTCGTCACTCTTTGTAATAACTCTAAGCAAACAAGATGCAAACTCATGGCCATAACGGAAGCTTCAGGTTAGGAAGCAGCCTATCAGAGTCTGCTCACAATCTGCAAAGAGGATGTCTGAGGAATTATTGCCTCTTTTAGACTAGAATAAAGAGAATGGCAGAAGGAGAGAACATACATGTCATCACTGTCATGCATTAAAGTATACATGTGACTAGAACCTTGTAAAAATATAGCCATTCTCTGAGTGGAAAACTATACCTAGCAACTGGTGGATATTTTAACAAGATATTTCTTCACAAAAATAAAATGAAGTAATACTTTACTAATACTTTAATACTAGAAAACTTATCAGTGTGTTTCAGTATGTTAAATCAAAGGAGTAAATAAAGTTTATAAGCTAATATTTACTATGATTTTAATAACAGTATGTACTAGTAGGTTAGACATTTTTTTTTTACATAACATGAGCATCCCATTAGAAATTCTTAAAAATAATTCATAGAAACTACTTTTGTTTGTCTTTTTAGTCTTTTGCAGTATGGATGGCATAATTGAGACCAACCAGAAGAGTCTAGAGAGACATTTGTGGCAAGTTACGGCCAATGATCACAATAGAGCAACTGAGAAAGCAGATGGATTAGCAAACACTTTTTATTTATACTCCATGAATATTTCAAGTTTTGTTGTTAATAATAGAAACTGTTCAGGAGTGAAGCCTGAGGAGTTGAATGGATATCTGAATACGCGTCTCCCTTCTGAGCCTCATGGATTGTGCACTGTAGAACAATGTAACGACTGTTGTGCAGCAGGGGAATCTGTCAGATGTCCTGAGCAGTTTGGTCAGCAGTCCAAGATTCAGACTGGACAGCGGGACTTTGAATATATTGGAGAAGGGGAAGATGCAAAGGCGGAAAATCTAATGAAAAAAATCATTTCATCTAAGAGACTCCAAATGGGACTGACTTCCTGTAAGCATAATGAACATGAGCAGGTTTCTGTTCAGTCAGACGTCATGGCTAAGGAAGGGAAGGCAACTTTCAGTGAGAAGTGTGATCTCACTAAACACCAAGCAACATACGCAGGGAGAACATCTTGTAAGTGCCTTGAAAATAAGAAAACCTTTACCAGCGGATTAGACCTTACAGTTAGTCAGAGGACACATCACCAGAAAAAAGACCATGTATGTATCCAGTGTGAGAAACCCTTTAGCACTAAATCTTCCCTTACTGTTCATCAGAGAATTCACACAGGAGAAAAGCCCTATGGATGTAGTGAATGTAATAAAACCTTCAGACAAAAGTCAGCTCTCATTGTACATGAGAGAACTCACACTGGGGAGAAACCCTTTGAATGTTATGAGTGTGGGAAAGCCTTCCAACATAAGTGGTACCTTAAAACGCACCAGAGAACTCACACTGGGGAGAAACCATATGAGTGTAAAGAATGTGGAAAAGCCTTTCTAAAGAAATCATACCTCAAAATGCATCAGGGAACTCACAAGAGTGATAAACCTTATGAATGTGAAAAATGTGGAAAAACCTTCCATAACAGGTCGTACTTCAACATGCATCTTAGAACTCACAGTGGGGAGAAGCCCTATGCATGCAGTGAGTGTGGAAAAGCCTTTTACCAAAAGTCAGACCTCAGGAGGCATCAGAAGATCCACAACAGTGAGAAATTACACGAATGTAAAGAATGTGGAAAAGCCTTTCAAAATAAGTCCTACCTCAAAACTCACCAGAAAGTTCACACAGGTGAGAAACCATATGAGTGTAAAGAGTGTGGGAAAGCGTTTCAAAACAAGTCATATCTCAATAAGCATCAGATAATTCACACAGGTGAAAAGCCCTATGAATGTAATAAATGTGGGAAAACGTTTCAGTGGAAGTTAGTCCTCAGTAAGCATCATAGAATCCACACAGGTGAAAAGCCCTATGAATGCATTCAGTGTGGAAAAATGTTTGGCTACAAATCATCCCTCATTGTACATGAGTTGATTCATTCTGGGGAGAAACCTTATGAATGTAATGTATGTAGAAAAACCTTTTCACAGAAATCAAACCTAAGCAGGCATCAGAGAACTCACCGACATGGGGAGCTGTGATAGGAATGGTTATGGGTGTGGTCCCGTGTCCTGCCTCCCCTCTGGAGGTGCACAGCAGCCAGTGCACTGGCTTGGGGAAGACAAATCGAAGTCAGGGACAGGGGTCTGCAGTTTAGGTTTGTCTTGGGGTGTCAGACACTGCTGCATGCCTGGCTGGAAGGGTGAAAACAGTGCAGGAGGGGAAGGAACTTGGTCCGGTTTGGAGTGAGTGCCGAGTGTCAGAGGGGCAGGAGAAGAGAGACGTCTTCTTCTGGAGTTTTAGTGTTATGGCTCCTTTAAGTGAAGGCCTTCCCTGTGGCGATCTTTAATGAAGAGGCTCTCTGAGACTGATCTTAGCTTGTTTGTATAGCTTTATTGGGGGTGGATGTGAACACATATGCTTATTCTGGGTGAATGAGGGATAATGTAATTATGGGGAAGGGTATGAGAATATCCAGAAAGGGAAGGTCATTGGCTGAAGGCTAAGGCTATTGAGATGCCTCATTAGCATGGATAGGCCGTTCCAGGCTCTAGGCCCTGTGCTATATGGCTGAGTTCCTATGGTCACATTAGTTAAGGCCATGATTATGTGCTCCAGAGTGGGGCATAGAGGCAGGGAGGGAGCAGCCCTACTCCTGCCATTTCAGATCTCTGAGGTTCCCAGGGTTTGAGCATCAAACCACTTCACCAGTCTCATGCCCATCTGGTGGCACAGTCCATCTTCCCTATATCTACAAAGGCATTTTAATCTCATAATGCATCAAGAACTTCAAGCAAGAATCCACTTCAGGGGCTGGAGAGATGGCTCAGCCTTCCAGAGGTCCTGAGTTCAATTCCCAGCGACCACAAGGTGGCTCACAAAAGAGGGTATCCGATACCCTTTTTTGGTGTGTCTGAAGACAGCTACAGTGTACTCATATTAAAAAAAAAAACAACCCACTTCAGTTCGAGTGTGTAGGTGTTCTTTGTATAAAACAAATGTCAATTTACAAAGAGAACCCACATGGGGTTGAGAAAGTTTAGGAATGTGTTGAATGACTATGAAGGAAGTTTCCCTAGTTCTTGTACTTGAGAACTTATAAGACCACTCACACAGGAATGAATAATGGAATAACCGAGGAAAAACATCCCCCAAGAGGTCAAAACTTGGAGTGCATCTAAGTATCGAGATGGAAGGAAATATTTAGATTAGGAGGAATGTAAAGAATATAAAAGTTTGACCCATGGTTTTTATTCAATATATCTGAGAGAATTCATATTGGAGAGAATCTCAATGAATGCCATGGATGTGGAAAATGCTTTCATACCATAATTTAGAAAAATCTGTGAGGTAATTAAAGTTGAAAATAATTTTGACATCATTCATGCCTTAATATACATGACAAAGTCAACAATGGAAAAACACTCTTGAAGAAATATAATGATTAAAAAACTGGAAGTCACTCCTTGTTAAATATGAGATCACCCTGTGAAGAAAGTCTCTGTGAATGGAGTCACTGGGGAAATGTTCCAGTAGAAGTTTCACCTCAGTATGCATAAGACAACTTACTCAGAAAAGAGAACTTACTCAGCAGAGTCTAGAGGAAGTCTTATGATGTTGATGAACGTCATTCGAAACCTTTCAACCCCAAGTGCATCCTGTCTAAAGTAATGCAGTCCCTGGAGAGGGAGCAGAGCCTGAGGGAATAGCCAACCAATAACCAAGCCAACTCGAGACCTGTCCCATGGGTGAGCACCAATCCCTAACACTATTAATGATACTCTGTTATGCTTGCAGACAGGAGCAAGTTGTCCTCTGAGAGGCTCCATCCAGTAGCTGACTCAGACAGATACAGACACCCACAGCCAAACAGTGGATGGAGCTTGGGATGTTTTATGGAAGAATAGGAGGAAGGATTGTGGATCCTGCAGGGGAGAGAAACTTTACAGGAAAACCAACAGAGTGAACTAACCTGGACCCTTGGGGCCCTCGAGTCTGAACCACCAACCAAAGAACATACACGGGCTGGATCTAGGCTTCCCTGCACATATGTAGCAGATGAGCAGCTTGGTCTCTATGTGGGTCTCAAACAACTGCAATGGAGCTATCCCAAAAGCTGTTGCCTGTATTTGGGCTATGTTCTACTAGCTGGGCTGCCTTGTCTAGCTTCAGTGGGAGAGATAGTGCCTAGCTGTACAGAGACTTGAAGTGCCAGGGTGTTGGGGGATAGCCAGGGAGCCCCCCACCCACTCAGAGGAGAAGGGGATAGGGACATGGGGGAAGGATTGTGGGTGGGGGTGACCAGGAGGGGGGCAGTGAGCAGCATGTAAAGTGAAGAAGTTCAAAACAACAAAACAGAAGAGACCAAGCATTGGCATACAGCACAAAATGTGCACAAAGAAATAATATTGAGTGGTAGAGTAATTACATGGCTCCCAGAGACTATTTCTGGAAATAGGTTGCAACTTTCAGCCTCCACTTGTGGCCATCACAAGTGAGCTCTGCTGGGAGACTCTGAACTCAAGTGATGAGTAGTACTGGACTTGGCAACCTGAAAACGACCAGGCTGTGGTTTTCAGTTTCTTTGTCATATCAGAGTGTGCCCATGACCCTAAGGACATCTTTTTAAAAGTTGGTAGGAGAAAGTTACTTGAAAGTTAAGAATTGCCGGGCAGTGGTGGCACACACCTTTAATCCCAGTACTTGGGAGGCAGAGGCAAGTGGATTTCTGAGTTTGAGGCCAGCCTGGTCTACAGAGTGAGTTTCAGGACAGCCAGGGCTACACAGAGAAACCCTGTCTTCAAAAAACAAAACAAAAACAAAACAAAGTTAAGAATTGTTGGAAGAAAACAGATCTTTATCCTTTATCTCTGTGCCATGTATCTGGTGTGTTAGTTAGAAATAAATGTGTAGTGTTTAGTCTTCCCAACTGTGATCTGTTCTCATTATATTTGTAACAGCTCAGTATTGGTAATTCATTTTATGAATACAGGGAATCTTTCTGAGAGATGTGAGTAGCCCTTTACCAGCACGTTCATACAGAAGAGGAGCCTGCCTTGATTCCCAGGTTAATTGTAGGAAAATCAAATGTGAATTTGATCACAAATGAATCATTTCTCCACAATGAATCATTTTGGGGAGTGCTTTTTATTATGTGAGTGTATCTCATTGAAGAAAAAGTAGATGTCAAATATTTTTATGGTATTTTCAGTTTTATACAAAATTGTGATATATAGAGACTCATCAACTCCTGTATTATACATATGGATATAGGTGATGTTAGACATTACCTTAACTCCTGTATTATACATATGGATATAGGTGAGGTTAGACATTACCTTAAGAACAAATACTTGAGTATTCACTAGACATAAAACCCACGGGGTGATAACCTGTGAGTGCTTGTGATGCAGATTCTTTTTTTAGGTTGAAACTCCAAGATCAGGTCGTTTCATCATTTTAGCTTCTTCTGTGGGCCTGCTTGGCTGTTTTACAGCATAGTAGAGGGTCAGAAGGGGATCAAGCTAAGTACAGAGAGACACGAATGTGCTCTGGCACTGCATTAAAAATAATATAAAATTTTGGGAGTAACCACAAGATTAGCAGTAATCTCTTATGGCATTTTCTCTAGATCTGGGTACAACCTCATTTTCCTCATCATGATATAGTAGGGATTCACTCGCATTTCAACGTTTACTACACAATTGGCCAAGTTTTACTTAGCATATGAACCTTTTGAAAGGAATTTTCACATTAAACACATGATATACTCCACAGACACAAAGAAGCAAGACAAGAAGGAAGGCCCAAGCACAGATGTTTGAATCTCACTTAGAAGTGGGGACAAATAGTCATGAGAGTCAGAGAAAGGGGGAACTGGCTGAGAGGGGAAGGGAATGAGGGCGGGGGTCATGATCAGGTATGGGGAGAGACAAGAGAGGGATCCAAGAGAATGAGATGGGGGTGGGAGACATCTTTAGAACATGTCAGAGACTGGGGTGGGGGAGACTCCCAGGAGTCAATGTGGGTAAACTTAGCTGAGATAGATAGCACTGGGGTCATATAGGAGGGGGCCTGAAGAGGCCACTTCCAATAATTAAATAGAACCTTCAGTGGAGGATAAGGACACCAACCCACCCACAGACTTTTGACCCAAAATTTGTCCTGTCTAAAATAAATGGACAAAGATGGAGCAAAGACTGAAGACATGGTCTCCCAATAACCAGCCCAATGTGAGGCTCACCCCACGGGCAAGCACCAATCCCTGACACTACTAGTTATACTCTGTGATGCAGACAGGAGTCTAGTGTAACTGTCCTCTGAGAGGCTTCACCCAGTAGTTGAAACAGATGTAGAGACACAGAGCCAAACATTGGACAGAGCTTGGGGACTCTTAATGAAGAGTTAGAGGGAAGGATGGAAGGCCCTGACTGGGATAACTCCACAGGAAAATCAAGAATCATCTAACCTGGACCTTTGAGGGTCTCTCAGAAACTGAGCCACCAAGAGCATGTACAGTCTAGATGGAGGCCCCCTGCACATATGTAGCGGATGTGCAGCTTAGTCTCCATGTGGGTCCCCCAACAACTGGAGCTGGGGCTGTCCCTAAAGCTGTAGCCTGTCTGTGGAGTCTATTTTCCAACTGGGCTGCCTTTCTGGGTCTCAGAGGGAGAGGGTATGCCTAGCCATGCAGAGACTTGTTGGTCCATGTTAGGGGATACGCAGGAGGACCCTACTCTCACAGAAGAGAAGGGGAGGGGCATGGGTAGAGAGACTGAGGGGAGGATCAGGAGTTGGGGCAGTTGTTGGGATGTAAAGTGAATAAACTCAGGGAAAAAAAAATACTTGCAGGCAAATAAAACGAACTATAAAGTTAGACTGAATGAGGTAACCCAGACACAGAAAGGCATAGATAGCATAGTTTCACTTGTATGTGGATTTTAACTGTTAACTTATAAGTGGTTATAAACTGTTTATTAAACATGAACTATAATCCGTATAACCTCAGCAGTTGCATGTAGAGTAAGGGGACAGATACTTAGACCTTTCATGGAAAGGGAAATTATAATAGGTAGTTGTAGATGAATGCATGACAGGGCTTGAATGAGAAGACCAAGTAGGGAAGGGACAGGGGAACAAGGAGAACAGTGAAAATATGGGGAGAGACAGCTAAAATGAAGGGCTATTTGAGTCATAGCATGGGAACCTAATATAGTAAAAGCTGCCTTCTGTATATACATAGATGAAGGTCACCTAAATGAATGGGCTCCTAAATAATGGGGGAGACAGCCTCAACTGGACTTCTCTTGTCACCAACTGAAGCTTCCAGCACTGAGAACGGCTTACTTCTAATTGAGTTGTTGGCCAAAGGGGTTCTATGAGAACCCCTAAACAACTCAGAATAGTGCCAAGACTGTACATTTCCTTCTTTCTCCTGCTCTTATCAAAACTAAATCCAGTGTCCAGAGGCCAATATCTGATTCTATATAATATAAAGACAAAGGAGTACTACATGATCAAGGAGCTTAGCAGGCTGAATTATGGGTACTCACTCAGTTGTGGGTGTCATCTGTGGACCCACCACACCTAGGTAAAGAAGGCAACACATCTAGAGAAAAAAAAAAAAAAGACCTGGTCTTCAAAAATCCATCTAGACCTTCCTCTCTGTGAAGCCATCTAGAAATGACAGGGGCCAGCTGTTTGAATTCACAATTAAATCTCTTCCAAGTAATGAACCAGAGTTGTACATTTCAATGAAAGTCCTCTCTCTCTCTCTCTGTCTCTCTGTCTCTCTCTCTCTCTCTCTCTCCCCTCCCCCCACCCCCTTTGGAGATAGGGTTTCTCTATGTAGCCCTGGCTGATCTTCAATTCAATTTGTAGACCAGGCTGTACTAGAACTCACCTGCCTCTGTCTCCCAAGTTCTCTAAAACTGCTTTATTTTCATTACATGGTTGTCACTATGTGCATTTAAGACCTGGAGGGGGCGTTGTTTCACTTAAGATATCGGTAATAAAAACAAATATTGGCTGAGCATTGTGGTACACACCTTTAATCCCCGGTTGTTGGAGGCAGAAGCAAGTGGATGTGTTAACTTAAGCTCAGTTTATATATCTGATTCCAGGATAGCAGGAGATACATTAGAGAGCCTGTCTCCAGAAACAAACAAACAAACAAACAAACAACAAAAAACCCCCAAAACCAAAACCACAACAAATAAATACCATATAAAACCACTTAAAGATAAATAAAACCAAACATTTACACACACTTTTATAAAAGTAATATAATTCTTCCTAGGTTTTGTGTTTCATACTTAAATAATCCAGTGGCATTTAATGTGAAAATTCCCTCCAAAAGCTCATGTGCTAAGCAAAGCTTGGCCCATTGTGTACTAGTGTTCATTTAAACATTTTTTTCCCCAAACACAAATATACATTCTCTGCACATCATGGAACTTGCTCTAAAATTGACCACATTCTTGGACACAAAGCCAGTCTCAACAAATACAAGAAAATTGAAATAACTCAGTGTATCCAATGAGACCACAACAGAATAAAGCTTGATATCAACAACAAAAGAAACAACAGGAAGCTCACAAACACATGGAAACTGTACAACTTACTACTGCATGAAAACAGAAGTAAAGAAATTAAAGACCCTCGGAGTTGGGCGGTGGTGGTGCACACCTTTAATCCCCGCACTTGGGAGGCAGAGACAGGCAGATTTCTGAGTTTGAGGCCAGCCTGGTCTACAGAATGATTTCCAGGACAGCAAAGGCTCCACAGAGAAACCCTGTCTCGAAAAACCAAAAAAAAAAAAAAAAAAAAAGAAAGAAAGAAAAAAGAAAGAAAAA